GTTTGAGTAGAATGCCTTTTTTCTATGTAGGGCGTGGTAGGCTTTTTACGGTTAACGCACTTTATATCGAATTAACTGGTACCGTGCGGTGCGATACCAGTTAAAGTAATCGGTAATAAAATTACACCTAGAATGAACGCATGAATTTTGGCCACCCACTACCACTAATGATGTATCTTCAACTGACTAGTGCTAAGCTGGTTGAGCATCTTTTGGTTTCCCAATGACCTGGATCTCTAAGCAAGTAATTGTATCAACTTGGACTGGGTGCTTAGTCTGCTGGTGGTCTAATGTTGTTTTTTGATAAAGATCTGACCTATTTTCTTCTAGTAGCTAACCAGCAGCGGCAGGCAAATAGGTACGAAACCAGCCAATTTTGGCCGTAGTAGTACTACCGGGTGTTACTTACAGAGAACCAGCTGCACCCTGGCCTATAATAGTGTAACAATGACACACAGCACTCTTCTTTACACTTTGACTGAATGTATCCCCAAGGGAGATCTCATTTGAGCCTGTTCTAGAGCACCTCCTCCTTTCACCAGCAGTAATGGTCTCTATTATACTAAAGACTGTTTTGATCAAGAACTTCACCATTAACAAATCAACAAAAACTTGGAAAATTCCCCCATTTGGTACATAGGATTCCCAATACAGTACTAATCCCCCTCATAATTACACAAAAGTTGTAGTAGTAGGTACATGCCTACATAGATACAGCACTGTTGAAAATTAACAAATTTGGACCATTTTGCCCTGCTGTTTATTGTAAATGATACAGTAGTAAATACTGGTAGTAGTAGTACATTAGATGAAATACAACAAGAACAATATTAAATGGCCTCATTAAGCAGTGACAGAGCTTTGTAACAGTATCCATGTTGTGTTCATAGGTGCTCTGGTTGTGAAGCTATCAGTTTCACCATGGCAAAGATGGTGCGTGGTTTTGCGATAATATGACAAAATCCACTGGAGTAAAGTTACTTTTTTCCAAGTAGGGTTCAGTAGATTTTTTACAGTTGACGCATTATATTACCGATTAACTGGTATGGTCTCATTCCAGTGCTTGTTGTACCTACTATTTTTTGCAACAACCGACATCTCGAAAAGTTCAAAATTGGTGCCTAACATAAAACCATATTTCTACTAGTAAGGCTATTACACTTATTGGTCCCACTTTATCTACCACCATACTCACATCTTCTACATATTTGTGGTAGGAATTCTACTGTGCAACTCTATTAGTTCTTCTGTTTTTGCCACTTCTATACCTATTCTGGTTACTCAATACAGTCCAATTTGCATATAGGAGTGCAACAGTTTTGAACCTCCCAATTAGTAGTAGGAATATTCACTCCTGCACAGCAGTAACAAAGTAGTACTAGCACTACTAGTAGTAGCAGAAGCTATTGAGACTCAGATTTTTTGTACTGTTCAGCTACTTGTCTTCTTTGTACACAAAATGAAGCTCCTACTAGTATTAGTACTAGTAGTAAGCAAATCAGGCAAGCAAGCAAACACCAAGCACGGCCATGGCAAGAGCCAAACCACTAGAACAACAAGGATTGAGAAGGTTCATTAAGGCTTGCAAATGAACAGGGCAGACTGAGAACCCTCCATGAGAAGACATGAGGACAAGAAATCATCAGCAACAGTGTCAATACCACTCACTGGTCCTTGAATTAATGTTTTTTTTCACAATAGACATGATAATGGAGGGGAACATGATATGCATTTCCCAAGCAATACTCTGTTCACATGCCAACACCAGTAGCTGAGTCAAATTCAGTCAGATCATATCTACAGGTTCTATGCAAAGAAAGCATACTAGTACTATAGACAAGAGGAGGGTCATCTGAATATTGATGCCGCTAGTGAAAATCATTCCAAATTTAGGGCTTCAGCATCACTCCCAATCTACTAGTAGTAGTACAAGAAAGAAATATCCTACTTCATGCCAAACAGTGCAGATCCTACTACCAAGTTGCATCAAGTGAAAGATCTAATTTCTGTGGAATCAGGAACAAAAGAACTTGTAGTCGGCAACAACTACAAATGGAATGATGATTGTACAGCAGGCCTCTTTCAAAGAGGGAGTTTTTGCAAGCTCTTGATCAGGGATTAGTAAACAAACAGACTGATAAATCAGTTCAGATCTTTACTACTACTACTGATGAGGCATCAAAAGCTAGTGTTGCTGTTCCTGTGGTTTCTTGTCCTTGTCATTGTTGTCATGCCATATTCCTTGTTCTTTGTCCTTGTGTTATCTCCTGTCTTTGTAACTACTGTCTTGGCCCATTTCTTACATCAAAATTTGGCCACCAGCTACAACTGCAACTTATGCAAGCTATTAGATCTACTAGGCCTCTATACCATTCTGTGGGTTCCCAATGATACTAATGTCTAAGTAATTATATTTACTTTGACTGGGTCCTCATTATGGTGGTCTGGATATGTTTTTTGGTACTAATGTTCTGGCCTAATCTGTTGTAAAGAAAGGAGACAGGAGGTAGCCCCCTCCCCTTTTATCAGCAGGAGAGACTAACAAGATCAAGCCCTCCCCTACAAGAAGTAGTAGTCCTGGGTGGTGTGAGATGAGCATGCCAGGGTCATTCCAGAGCAGCAGCAGCAGTTCTAGTGTTCTCATGCAAACTGCTTCTAGTACTATCAAAATACATTTGATCAAAAAACAACTCAATACATAGCTAAAAATCTGTAGAATCCAGTAATGACAAAATTCACCACCGCACAATGATCACTTGCACTTTCCAACAATCATACAAATATGAAATACAGAAGATCAGACATTTGGAACCAAAATCTACTCTTGTAATGACAGCAGAATCTCAACATGCATTCCAACTATTAATTTAATAGTACTTGTGATGATGACATCCTCAGATTTTCCAGGGGAAGCTTTCTTGGTGATGAATTTGCTGTATTTGTCATAGTATTTTATGTCTGCTGCTCTTCCAGCATACTAGACGACCTTGTTGATCAAGAATTTAATTTGCATCCAAATCATCCCCAATCACCTTGTTGATAACATGTAGACCCACAATTTACTAGTGCTAGATACCGCTTGTTACAGTCAACCATTTGAGTTTGCCAACAGGAATTTCCTTCCTGTTGGTGTTCTTACTGGGTTTGCTGAATGCATTGTTTTCAATCTTGCCCTATTTGATGGGGTTGGGATACAGCAGTAGTAGTAGTGCTAGTAAAACAAGGAATAGTTCTTMTTTCACAACTACAACAGTATTTGGCAACCTTGCTACTACTACTAAGCAGAGATAGAATTGCAGTATCCTTGGTTTGTCTTTTCCTCATGCTTGGGTTATGTAGTAAGTCCTTCTTGTTTGTCATTCTTAATGAATTTCTGTGTGCCTCCTCTTTTTCTTCTTCCTCTGAGCTATTACTACTAGTAGTACATACTTGTTGTACTAGTAGTATGCAGTATTCTTCTTTGCACTGTATGCAATGCTGTATCCACATGATGTTAGTATCACAACAGGAGCAGTAATGTGCAATGCAGAACTGCAAGAATCCATCAAGATATCCTCCATGAATATTCAGCTTTGAATCGGATGGGTAATAAAAAGAGGAATACTAGAAACAGACGCATTAGTGGTGCCATACTAGACACTAAATAGGATCCGCAACTGCAAAGGACGGTATTTTTTATTTTGAATAACGCAGTATTTATGTCGAAGATATTGCAGCCAAGATCCAACTCATCTCATTAATAGATTACTGAAAAGGAACATTTTCAAATCTAGTTTTGCTTCCATTTGGGCAATGGACCATAGTCGAAGCACGATAGTGATTTCAATTGGTTTTGTCTACCGTTTTAGTTCATGCCTTCTTTTTTCCCCACACGGTATGTTTTGCTGGTATCCGAGTCAATGTGTTGTAGCTAGCCAGAAGTTAGTGCGGCGATTGTCCACCAGAAAGATAGGCATTCATGGCACCACCTCCTCGGAAGGCCGCCATGGTTTGATCGGTGCATCTTTTGCGTTCCTCGGGAGACCACAGTGCCGCCATGTCTTCAATTTCTTCCTTAACGCGGTCTTTAATCTCGGGCAGTTTCCCGTCCCACTTGTAAAACTCGAGGGTCTTCTTGTTTAACAAAAGTGCACTCATTTGCTTTCCGATCATTCTGCCTCCTGCGGTGTGCGCAAAGTAATAGTTGTAATAATGGCATAAAAATTCTGGAATGGAATCAGCCTTTCCTAACGCTCGAATCACATCGGCATAGTCTTGGCCAGCCTTGCCGACACTCGGTTTCTCGAGGCTGTATTCTTTTACCATAAAATCAATGTCGGTGTCGAGAGCGACAACACGATCCAGAGGCGAATTTCGGAAGACTGCCAGCTCTTCTCTTTCGTTGACAACGCTTTCGATAGCCTTATACACGTGTTGTGAATCGACGAGGAACGCCAGATAGTCGTCAAGAGTCGTTTCGTACGGTTCTCTTGGTTTCTTTTCTTCTGCTTGTCCTTCTTTTGGGGCCTGGGCCCGAGTGTGCAACTTCATAGCAGCTCCTCGCAGCTCTGTATCGATAAAGCTTATCTTTTCTGCGGTGCCGTCGGTTGATGGAGGAGACATGGACAACGGAGTGAAAAATACGGAGTCTTTACTTGTTGCATGGCGATTCGGACTTTCGAATGTGGTCAAGGAGGGGGCGAAGGAGGAGACGTGCAAGATTTTCCCGCACACCAAACCGGCAGCGGTCGCAGCAAAAGTGGTAGTCTTCATTTTATTGGGTTTGATTGTTTTGTGACGGACTTCAATAGAAAATATTAGATTCTTTTGCCCTCGATTGAATTAGGGTTTGTGAAAAAGGAACTGGCAGTGCCTCTTTCTGCTCCTCATGATTTACTAGAGTGTTGAAGTTTGGTAGGAAAAACGAAGTAAATACGGTACTAGTTCGTACGTACTCGTACTGTTCATGAACCTGTTTTTTGTTCATGTCGCTTTCTTTGAACTCTGGCAAATTTTTACTCCCTTCACGTACGTACTTTCTGCAGAATACTCAATCATTGAGAGGATAAATAAGTACGTACGGAATAGTAACATGATTTGAGTCTCGATGAAGGGGATTTTTAAAACTAACAAAGTACGTGGTGCTTTGTAAAGTTACCGTACGTACGGTACGTACCGCACAAGTGTTCAAAACGCACGAAAAGGGGATTTTATTTGATTTTTGGCGTTTTCTTGGAGTTAGGGATAATACGAAATCAAACAATCTGATTGGCTGATTAGACAGATCAAAATTATTGAAAATAAATTCTACGGAGGATTTGTACTACATTCAAAATCATTCACTATCTACTCGTGATTGTCACACGTGGAAATAGAATTTTGAGGGACTGCAAATTTTTTTCTGTCCAATCAGCCAATCAGATTGCTTGATTCCTAAAAAATATTAGTATTATCCCCAACTCTAAGAAAACGCCAAATATCAAATAAAATCCCCCCGTGAGCACTTGTGACCGTACATCATTTCAACTGTTCGGTACAATAATCGTACTTTGTACTACTACGCGTAAAATAACAATTGAAACTACTAAGTCAATTGAGGCATTGGGAACGTTAATTTTTACCAGCGTAGTCTGCGTAGAAATGAGTACTGTATTTTTTGCTTCAATTTAACGTCCTGAATGCTTTGCTTAACAGTCTGAATATTAGCAGGGGAGGCAAGGCATCCTCTTCTTCCTCTTTTTTAGATCCCTTCTTCCTTTTTAGGCACATGCAAGACTGTTTTGCTACCAATTGAAGAATGTGGATAATACTAGGATCTACGTAGGCCTACACAATAAATTTAACATTCTGGTGAACGTTAAATTAACATTCGGAATGTTAAATTAACGTTTCCAATGCCTCAATTAACGTAGTTTCAATTGTTATTTTACACCCAGTAGCGTAGTACGAGTACTCTTACCGTATGCTCGGTGTCAGGGATCATAATTTAGAAGGGTGACCGGCAGTTTTTTTTCATGTGCAGGATCAGAATTTCATTATTCCATGTGTGTCCAAAATTGGAAAATGTCACCCCAGGATTTTTTGACATCTTCACTGCATACTAATAGTAGAAAAACTGCTCAACTTTACAGTGGTAGTAATAACAACTTCAAAAATATTAATAATATACATTTTTACTAGCCTGTCTCTATCAGATTTTTATGAGGATTCTGAATATATAATTTTCTTGAACATCAAATTGATTTTTGCGCTATCATTCTGCTGCCTTTTCTTATCACATGACCAAATTAGTACTAATAGTAGAGCTACTAGTACTTGTAGTAGTGCTACTGGAAAAGTAGTAAGCAAAACTGCAACGAGTACCGTAGGAACAGTACGGAGGATCACTCGTGGATCCAATCATGAGTCCCCGGGACCCAAAAACTATATATATATATCGACGGAAAACTATATAGTACTACTAGTACTATTAGTAGTACGAGTACTATATATATATATATATATATATATATATGAATAGAAGTACTACTATATACAGATCTGAATATTACTGTATATACTATACTTCCTCCTCACTAGTTC